ACATCCTATCCGGGAAAAAAAGCGTTTCTCTCTCTCTTCTCCCCTTCTGCGATCCCCTCCGACTAATAATACACTGCAGGAACAACTCCGTATCCGCCTGTATCGAATTTAAATTTGACGTTCAAACGTTCCGTAGATGTCACGTGCGAGTGACACGCAGACCTAACGGAACCGGCGCCGAAAATAAAGAAATCTCCGCGTTTTCTGGCAACGTCCGCGTGCTGCTCGCCACGGGTCCGTGATTCAGACGCGCGACAAGAGTGATTTATTTGCGGAATGGCGAACGGGGCGCTTCTCGGAGCGCACGATTTAAATACGCGAAACGCGAGCCTGTCTTCGGGGGTGACGGACAGGGTGTCGCGGAGACAGCGAGGATCGTTCACAATGTCTTGTTGAAATTACAGGCGTGCCGTGATAGAGCATTCGGCCGATGGTGCGGCCGAAGCTACGACTTGTATACGACAACGATGGCTCTAAAGCGTTGAGATAATGAGCCGCGGGACACGAACGACGGCTGCATTCGCAAATTATCGCCACTTCCTTTCGTGGGCGGATAATATATATTTACGCGAAAAGCAAAACGGGACGCTGTATACACGGTACTCGCGAACGGAGTAACCATCAGGATTTCCAATCGTCGTAATCATAATCGAGAGGGGAATTTTTCTTTAATCTAGAAAAGTACACGAAAAAGATCGCTAGCTCGAGATTAATTATTCAAGGTTGTCGAGAGGCAATTTAGCCTTTAATGATGTAAAAACTTGTTGATCGAAGTCGCAAAGTCAATTGATAAGTAATAAGTAATAAGTACATGATGATAAGTACAAAATGATAATTCTTATCAGTCGAAAAGAAAGATAGCTAATACTACTTGTCTTGTTTCATGATGTTTTTTTGAAATAAATAAGAGAAATATCTAGATTGCGTCACCGATATCAAGTGATGAGAATGTTATTAATTTACTGGAAAGCGCATGTGTAACTAATCAAAGCGGTTACGTGGAAATGAAGTACGTATTTACGAACACGTTTCTCTAAGATCTGTGGTTCGAAGTATATTATATTAGAAAACACACACATATCGCGTAAAATTAAATAGTACATATATTATTCGTAATACATAATACGTACTACAAAACGTTTAAAGAAACCAAGAGATTCACGTTTTATTTGCATAATTTTTCATATTCAGTCAAATGACGCGCGTCAGACATCTAAAACTATTAGCGGAGTAATGAGGATTCATAGTTACGTGACATGTATACATCGACACATACGCGTCTGATAATTATCGATCCGTCATAATGTACTTCCAAAGTCTCCATAATTCATGAACGTACTCCCGAATATCGCGCGAGTATCCCTCTCTCTCCGAGATATCCCGTTCCTCTTTCGGAGACACTATCGCATTATTTACTCCTCATTATCGTCCTTAAATCATCCCGTTGTTCGGGAGGGACTTGAGAGAAACTTCCATTACCTCTCTTTAATCGACGAATAATAAAAATCATTCCGGCGCTCTACGGCGCGCGATGGCTTCTCAATAAAGACATTGTCCGTGGAACAAATTCTTATCCGTTAAAAGACGTCGGTGAGAACAGAACGCCCGCCATCCCCTTTTCACTCTCTCCCATTCCCCTCCGAGGACAAGAGGACGGACGAACAAGGACCAAGGATACGACGTCGACAAGAGGAGGGACGGGATCGGAGATTATCGGCTCCGGGATTACAACGGGCTCGAAGGCTTCGAAACAAACGATTTTCCTCGCGCGGGGATGGAGGTACAGAGGAAGGGCGGACGATGGTTTGAAGGCGACAGAAATGGAGGAGTGGTTGTTATTGGCTCTAAGGAGGATACTTATTGAACTCTTAGCGGCGTTTTTATCACTCCTTTCTCACGCGCGCGCCGCTTTAAGTGTTTTTGGCTTTGTTTAAAGGCTCGTGTACACCCGCCCCCACCCTTCGCTCGCGCCGCCGTTTTCACCCCTATCGCATTATACACCCTTAACAGGTTACGCTTCCTTCTCCCTTCTACCCCTCCCCCCTTTCCAACCCCGTACCGTACTCCTTTTCCTTTACCGCAAGATTTTTACGGGCTCGACCTCCTTGCACGCCGCTTCGTAAACCACGCAAAGTGCACGGCACTAAAGGGTGCAACTACCACTTAGGCTCTTCCTGACCACTTCCGGGAGAAAAAAGGCTTCGAGTAGCGGCGGATAATTCGTATTCTGTATTACCTCTCGAAGATTTATCGACTTGGCTAGCTCTATATACCTTGTTCAATTGGCAGTTTAATCTATAGCGCGGATCCCTCTTCTGTGCCTCGATGTACGTGTAAAAAAGACAGATTCTTTTTTCGTAACATTAATAAATCATTATTATTTTTAGATTTGTTATTATTTATTAACAACATATGCATATTTTTTATATAACTAATAATTTTATCAATAATAATAAATCTCCTAAAAATATATCCACAAATTGCGTAAATCTTATTTAATGATGGCTTGTATGCCAGATACATATGTAGGGTAGGTGCAGTACTTTCTACGCACTGAATACACTTTCACGCAATTATGTACATGCAATTAATCCACTTTGATTGCACATCTGTGAGAAGCGTACTCGGCATACCTCGCGACGGCGACGCCGCCCATTCCTAGACAAAACAAAACGCGACGGAATCACCTGTCTCACGAGACGACCGTAGTTTATTAGGCCAAATATTCGGCGGTAAAAGTGAGGGATGACCGTCATTATCTCCATTCATCCGCGTCGCGCGGCAGCTGCGCATTGCAGCTCGGCGTTGCAGCGGGCGGATGCTGCGAGCAGAGCGCAGTTCGCGCAGTTTCTCAGAGACGGTTCGCGGCTATTTTTGCGCCGAGACCGAAACCGCGCGCACGCGGGTCCCTCCCCCGGGTTATTTACCCTCCCGATAAATATACGATAATGTTATCGCGCGCGGGGTTCCGAAGGAAACCGCGGACCGGCGAATCGTAATAAAAGGTCCGCCGCCGCATTCCGGCGTTTTAACGACCCAAGCGAGCAACCGTACCCGAAAGTCCCGACATGCCGTTACTAAATATATATTGGGATGCGTCTATTCAACCGGGCGCGACCACGTTAATGGACAACAAGAGCGAACTACGAAGAGAGAGAGAGAGATAGAGAGACAGAGAGAAAGAGGGAGAGATAGAGAGAGAAAGGGATAGGGCTTTTCCAAATTGACTTCGTTATCTATTTCGATAGCTGATCAGGCTATCGTTCGTTACACGTTCGCTACTCGTGTAGCCGCGAGCGCAGGGTTTGCGTGGTTCCACAAGAGCGAGTAATTTGAAACGTTTATCGCGAATCTAGGTCCCGATCGTGTATCTTTCGCAGAAAAAATGCCACGCGAGAGTTGTGAAACGGCTTCACCCGAATTCATTATCTGCCGTTCGTACGCCAAAGAGCGAACTACGAAGAGAGAGAGAGAGAGATAGAGAGACAGAGAGAAAGAGGGAGAGATAGAGAGAGAAAGGGATACGGCTTTTCCAAATTGACTTCGTTATCTATTTCGATAGCTGATCAGGCTATCGTTCGTTACACGTTCGCTACTCGTGTAGCCGCGAGCGCAGGGTTTGCGTGGTTCCACAAGAGCGAGTAATTTGAAACGTTTATCGCGAATCTAGGTCCCGATCGTGTATCTTTCGCAGAAAAAATGCCACGCGAGAGTTGTGAAACGGCTTCACCCGAATTCATTATCTGCCGTTCGTACGCCAATCATGTTGCTACTATTAAATGCGATTCGCCATGCGAAATCTACACAACTGCCCCTTTCTCTATAATTCATATATATAAGTCTACTTTATAAATATATATGATTTGTGAAATATAAGCACAAAATTATATGAAATAATGCACAAAAAAATAACTCGAGAGAGATTTCAATATTATAAGAAATATTACGTATACTTGTTATCAACTGATATTACGTTCACGCACATAATTTTTAAAATAGTAAATAAAATTCTTTTATATAATATTTCCTTTAATAATAATATAATGAAATAATTTTCTAAATGTAATACACGAGAAAGAGATATTGATTACACTTTTATTACTAATAAAACTTTTATCTATATTAAGATAAATATAGTTACTTTTTTTTGTGCGTCATCTTATTATCTATCAAATATGAAAATCAATTGATCGCTATTTGTTGCAACGCTAACAAACGTTCTTCCATATTTAACCTCACATTAAAATATCAATAAACCAGCTTTGAAAAAATCTGCCAAAATTTCCAATCTATAATCTTGCAATCATCAATTAAAAAATTTGATTGAAATTTGAAGGTGTCTGCGCGATGACAACAGCCAGTTATAAAGGGATGAGTGTCAGGCATGCATGCGGTATACGAACGTGATTGCGTGGAACAGAATGGTGCGGGCGAATGAAGAAGGAAGGGGGGACAATAAACCACCGAATACGGATATCGAACACGAGTAAGCAACGTTAGTCATTCACTTCGACATGCCGCGGCTCACGCATGTCTGCACGCGGAAATCGCGCTAACATACACGCGGTGGTTTTGCACGTTACAACCCCGAGTTGGTTAAGCCGCGCGACCGCTCGTAAACGAATGTTCGATTTATCAATCCTTTCGTAAGCCGTGAGAATCTGCCTCGCTTGTACACTATTTTATTACCTATATATATTGTTGTACGTGCGGTTACTAATAAAGAAAAGAAATTCATAAAAAAGATATATAAATGTGTTTATATATTTTTTTTTTTTTTTTTAGAGACGATTTAAGCGGTTGAATATCTTTTGTTGCGTTAATATATATTTCTCAATATTTAATTAAAAATAAGAAAGAATAAAATAATTTATTATAACAATATATATATATAAAAAGAGGAGTTCTCGAGAACTCCTCAGAGATTACAATCATTTTCGCATGGTATTACACGAGAGAGCAACATTTTAGCAAAAGGGCTCAAGTTTGATCCAACTCACCTCTTTGTCTTTGGCCTGCAGTTCCTGCTCGAGGTTGCTGTTCGGCGTCCTTCTGGGATTGCTGGCATCGTGTACCTGCTGTTGATCGCTTCCCTGCGGAGGCTGGGACAATTGGTGTCCCTCAGTCTTGGAATTGCTGTCATTCGTTGCGGCGAGCTGTTCTTTCAGTGCGGCTATTTCTTTCTCCGCCGAAGTCGCTCTCTGAAACGAGAAGGAGAGAGGATAATGAGTGCCTCACGAGCGTTAACATTCGCAATTTATATCAGCACGATTCGCTTGACGAGAACTCGTATTCGCGTTTTTAATTCTCTCGTCGATCTAATCAAGCACGCGAATGACTGAGATTGCATTATGTTAAATACAGTACTGATTCGAGTCGCGCCATTCATATCATGCGATATAAATGAGCGATATATTGGCATGATACTCTTAATAAATTCCATTGCTATAAGTTGCGGTGTAAATTCTTTACATCGCAGACGTTCGGTGAACTAGTTTCAAAATTAATTAACCGACGTGCGAAAAATCTCTCTCGCTGTCTTCGATCCAATAATAATAACTGATAACAGAGACGTATAATATTTTGTAATTCACGCGATTGTACACGCGGTTTAATTCTAGGACGCAAGTCGGAATTAACGGTACAGACGGTTTGCGCTCTATGCAAATTTTTCACGGCAGTCCCGATCGTTAAATTACCGTTGCGGAGCCGTGCGACGCGAAATCAATCAATTCTCGCCGGCTGCACCTAATTTCGCGGCTACGAAAAGCCGGCAAAAATAGAAACGGCGGCCCGCCGAGCCGTCATGCGAGATCGCTTTGATATTCTCAGCGCAGGAAATAGCGAGCTGGCGTCGCAGTTTCTTAGATCCCGAACATTGTAATGCACATACTCCGCCGCTCTCCGTAATGTAATTCTTTAATTCTGAAATCGAAATTTGAAAAAGTTTATATATGTATTGTATCAAACCACTCCCTTCCCGTAGCTCACATGGTGAGCTTGTAATACGTAATCGAAAATTACCTTTCTCTTAATTCCATGTAGCAAGTATTACACGTGGCTAATAATTACAGTAGCAACTAGAAATATTGTATATCGCTATCAATATATTTTTATATGTTTCTCTGTTAATTGACGTACGTAATTCAAACACAGTTGTCGCTGTATAATGTGCCAGTCATAATAATTAGCCTCGTGTGTCATGGCGTACCTTTCTGTTGAAACCGCTCGTGTATATCGGCGCGTAAAAGCACGACGCGCTGACAAGCGCGACGAAGGTGCAACTTTCTCTCTCTCTCTCTCTCCCTCTCTCTCTTTCTCTCTCTCTCTGTCTCTCTTTCTCTCGCGAAGAGAGACCATTAACGACGAAATACTTTCGGCGACTGCGTCTGCCTTTGCTAGATCTGCGGCAAAGCGCTCGTTAATTAGCATGCCAATCGCGACGCCTGCCGCGACGTTACCTCTTTACCGTTGATGTTACCGCGACCGTAAAGCACAAACGACTGTCTTAAGCGCGGAGACACATGACGCGAGATCGACCCTTTTATAAATCGAAGCTTTCGAAAAAAAAACGAGCAGAGTTCCCGTTGATACGAAAATAACGATGGTATCGCTAACGTTAAAAGTACAGAGAGAGGATTACCTTTTTAAACTTTTCACCGTGATGTATCTAACAAACATTGTCCCGCGCTTTTTCCCGCGATTTCTCCTGCCCTTTTTCTCCCGCACTTGGACATTAATTATAGCGGCTTTCAAAGTAACTCGACTCGATTCAGAAACGCCTCCTGTCTTCCATAGACGTAGTAATACTGCGCGTTCCGTTCGTAAATGCTGCGCGCGATTTAGAAAGAGGAGGAAAGTTTCGCCTTTTCTCTTTCTCTCTTTCTCCCTCTCTAAATGCAATACTTGGACAGAGATGAAAACTCTTTCTCCAATATCCGAACACACGCGCCACCTGCGATTAAGATAAGTACGCGATCTATTACACTTGTACATACATCTATGGTCTTTTTTTTTCGCTCTTTTCTCGCCGCCTTCGCGACAGTCCGATAGAGGGCGCTCGGGAAGGGACCCGCGATCGTTAGTAATTCAAACAAGTTATAACGTGCGTGTCCTACATCGTCGGCGTCGCGACGTGAATCAACAATTCGTCGGTGTAATCGGTGATTAATCGATATATTAATGATAGTTCTTCTCGCCGAAACATAAGTACGTCTCGCTTCGCGCGCGTAATTATATCTTAGTCCACGGTAAGCAGATTTAATTCGAGATTAAGAGCACAGACGATGCATCATGGTGTGCGTGCTTTTTTCACCAAAGTTCGGTGCGAACCGTGTGAAGCGAAATCAATTCTCTCTGGTAAGTCCGAATTATGTATATTAATAATCTCGATTAGAGTTTAACGATGTAGATAAAGAAAGTGGTTATTCAGGTTAATGTATGATAGTATTAATTTAGAATGAAAGAGAGAGAGAAAGAGATGAGAGAGAGAGAGAGAGAGAGAGAGAGAGAGATGAGAGAGACAGAGAAAGAAAGGGAGAAAGAGATGAGAGAGACAGAAAAAGAGAGGGAGAGAGAGAGTGCACAATTACTGAAAATAGAATTGTTAGTATCGGAAAATTTGGCATTAATTACATGAAGCGTGAAAAATCAATGTAAATAAAAGCCAATGATATCTCAATCGCGCGACTCTTCTTACTTATTGGATTTCTTTTTCAGCTTATGTAAACACGGATATCGTCAAGTAGTGGCATCGCGGCGTGTATCGATCTGTGTGAATATGTGTGACGTCTCGCGAGATACACATATGGTGTCGCAATCGGACGGGAGAGGTGAGGACGAGACGAGAGCGTGCTGCGCGGACAGAATCTCGGAGACAAGGAGAGAGGAGAAGGAGAAACACAGAGGCACCAGGCTACAGCGGGCAAGTAATGACCCATTGTTTCCTGCAAAAAGCCTTGACGATGTTATCGATAATTGCAAAATGATACGGGAAGCATAAATACATATCCGAGAGCGAGCCGTAATATACGGCTGTTCTAATAGCGGATGCGTATCGATAGCTGCCGTCTGGTGGCACATCCTGCGTATTTGTCACGTGGACATACGTCAGGAAACGGTGCGGGGAGGATATTCCGAGGACTCGCGGCGCGATAGAGAGACTCTAGAGAGAGGATCGCCGATAACGATCGTCCTCCCCCTCAGAACGATCGTTATATTAACAGCGGAAGTCGTTGGAGGATAATGGTTTTCTTCAAACGTCCCGAACGCGATCGAGCGTCGTAACGCGTGATTCAAGCGCAAAAGATTCTGACAACGATGATTTATAGCATCGAAATGCGTATCGCGTCGATGCGCATCGCGTTATTATTACACTAAATATTCAACCATCGCAAATAAGCGCGAACGGCGATAATTTGTAATTAAACTGCATTACGATGTATACGGCTAATTTATATTTCCTACCACTACATTTTTCCATCGCCGGAAATGAGACGAAACGCACTTTTGCAAAAAGCGTAATATAAGAATCACATCGTGCGATACGCTCTAATGTTTTCGCTTTAATGAAAAACGATATGAATATAAATTAAATTGCAGCGGAGATATATTTTTTTCTTGATGTTTAGCATTTGCTCGAATAATATTGTTCCACATTTAATCATAATAATATTACAGATATAAGTTAAATATAAGCTTTTTCCAAAATCTTTACGAGTAACCGTTGCTAAGAGTCGAAACGCATAATAATGATATTAATAACGAGATCGCGATATCGGGAATACTAGATTGGTCGTGCAATGTTAGCGCGCGGGGAACTTTACATTATTATCCTATAGCGGCAATATAAGTATCCCCGTTATAGTTTCGTAGAACAATCGATTGCCTTCAACATGACGGATGTCTGTAAAAACTGACGTGGTTCGGTTCTGTTGCGTGTATGCCATATAAGGCACCGAATCATTCGCCGCCGTAGCCGAGAGAGAGAGAGAGAGAGAAAGATAGTGCTTTTAAGACCGCGTTGCCCGTAGCGATATTTTACCGTCAAATTCGTAATTATTTTAATTGGCTCCAGATGCTAATTAATGACCTAAACATATGCCGCGTTATATAGATCCGGCCCGATAGGGCAACCTATGCCGCCATCACCCTGGAGGCAGGGGATCGGGGTGAGAACGCATGTGTTTGTCATTACATGCACTACGACGATTTTATCGCTTCTGAATAACATCCTCTGCCCCCCCCCCTCCTGCCGTCCCCCTCTCGCCTTCCGCTCTACACCTTTCGTATCAGACGCAGAAAGCGTCGATCGCCGATTAAAATAAAGTGCTTTCGCATCAATTTGTAATGTCACTATCCCGTTGAAAGGATATAAACGCTCGTTAATCATCCGATAAATTTCTAGAGCATGCACATGTAAAATTGCGATATTACATCGATTTCATTGATCTGACACAAACAAATTAACCTTTAACCGATGAAATTATGTAGTTCTAAGATTACGCTGCCTCGTTTGAGAACTTTATAATGTCGGGATAAAATGACAAACTTGTCGCACTCGTCGTTGCATCGTTCGCGTCAGCGAGAAAACTTATCGAAACTGCCGAGAGCAGCTGGTGTCGGGCCGCGAAAGGAATGAGCGAGCGTAACAGAATACTCGGAGCGGATTTCGTGACACGATCGAATTACTTCGTTACATCGGATCGGCGATTGGGCGCCCGTCGTCCTCGTCTATCATTACGAGATGCTACTGGCAGCCGCCGATTTCGATTCGATCGTCCGACAGCATCGATTACGCTATCCGGCGGTTCTTCGAATCTGAAAAGGGAAAAGACGGGCATCGCGATGTGTGCCGGCGCTCTTCCTTCGATCGGTTTGATCGCCGTGTGCCGCGTTGAATTGAGCCTCGACGTCCGTCTTACACCCCTTTTGCAAATTGACGGTTATCCGACTTCCACGGTGCCCGGCCGCGCCGATCGATCGGCACTCACCGATTCGACATAGGAACGTAGGGGAATCTCGGTGCTTCCTGCACCGCGCGCGGCGCAAGAACTCTAACTGCGGGATTTACACCTATACACGGTCACGCACTTTGTGCGATCGCCGCTTCTACCGCCCGGGACGAAAGTCGAAAGAATCGATTTCCGACGCGCTATCGCATTGTGCACATAATGGCCGACTGTAAATGCGTCTGGATGGG